AGCTGGGTACTGAAATTATATAAAACATCATGAAGTATACTCCCTTATAACATTTTTTTAGCCTTCCAAAAAATTACATAATTTTTTATAAGACTATTACACAATTAAGGGAATAGTCTTATAATACAATAAAGGAAAACATATCAGGAACCTCCTTGAAATTTACATTAAGAGTTTAGCTCTGCACTAAGACTTGGAAAATATCAGTCCTAAGGAAGGTTATTTCAGAAAGATATGAATCATTGAGGGAGATGAAGCATTAAAGTGAATGAAAACTTATTTACAGTCAAATGTGGAAATTGTGCTAAAGAATAACTAGCACATTAACATAAGTACCCAAAAGGCCACTACGTTGGGAGAACGTCTGATAGGTGTCCCCTTCTCTCAGTTTTCTTTGCAAAGTGGAGGTCCCTTCTCTTTCTCATTTACAAAAATTATTACAATGTTCACAAATTCTTACTTTTTTTAAGAATATAATCAGAAGGAGAACTGTTGGGATGAGAGGAATTGGGAGCATATTTAAATAATGTTCGTCTGGGCTGTGAGGAAAAAAATAGGCCCAGAAAATTCCAGAAATATCAAGGTTTCAATAAATTATACCTGAAGTGAAAATTAGGAGGCAAGCAGTGGCTCTGCAAAATTGGTGAACAGTGGTTCTTCTTGGAACCGTGATAAACACAGCAATGAGCTATATGATGATTATTGCAACTGTAACATACTCAGAGATACATTTATTGTGTTTCTTTGAATGACAGTAGGTAATAGCAAAGACAGTGCAGGGTATAACTCTAAATAGACATAACATGAATATAAATTGAAAATATGTAGTGCTTGTATTTCTGTACCTGGTTCCGAAAAGAATAGCCTTTTGTGTTTTTCAAACAATATTTGGCAAAAGAATCACTTGAAAATATGTTGAAAGATTACAAGAGTCTCTCACAGGAAATCCTGATACAAGTACTCAAAATGAGTTTGATGATCATGGCCAAGGAACACATTTTGACAAAGATTTCTCTCAAAGAATTATAAGAGGACAAATAATTAAATTCATTGTTTTCACAGCAATGTGATTTTGGCATCCTAGTGGCAGATGTTGACACTTCATGTAATTAAAATTTTTAAGGCAAAATACAATAATTAGTCTTTTGGAGAGGGAAAGAGTAAATAAAAGAATTGTTTCTTTTTTTTAGTTAACAACAAGCATAAAGATGGGGATAGTCACTAGTTAGATTAATAATTATCTTACATTGAAAACTGACATTAATCTACTGTTTTGCTAGTCAATTACAGAATTTGAAGTTAAACAATTTTAGTTACTTTATACATATTAAAAGAAGTTAATCTATGTCTTCTGTGACACCTTACGCAAGAACTCTTTTTATGGTTACAACAGAAAACTTAGAGAAAAAAATAACCCAACTTGATCAGTCCTAATTTGTTCTCATTTTTAACAGCTCTTCACTGGGAATTTCCTAACTCTTATGGTCATAATGGTTTGTGCACACACTCATACACATGCCAAAGAATTCACCAGACCCAAATAATGTGTTTCAGTGGACACTTTAGTCATCTTAATTTTTTTATTATAAAAGAATAAATGTGTTTAGTAGGTATAAAGGTATCATGAATAAATCAAAGGTGAAAATGTTCTTACTTTTTTTTTTCTCTTGACCATGACATGCATAAGCCTTATTTCTTTTTTTTTTTTTTTCACATATAATGACCTTTTTTTTCTATGAACAATCCACACACTATGTTTTGTACCCAGTGATCATATGAGGAAATTTTGAGATACAAGTCTGATGAATTGGCTTGTGTGGTAAAAAATGAATAGGTAGGCAAGTAGGCAGGTAGGTAGGTGATAAAGAGAAAACAAGCAACTCTATATCTATTCACAAAATACATCATTTCTTGATTTTTGTTTGTTATGTTGGTAAAAATAAAACTGATTAGGCTATACTGCTCAAAATTTTCCATGCAAGGTGTCCGCTACTTCTTTCTTCATCCTATAAAGATGAATTCAAACATCGTGAGATTGTTTCTTAGTAGAAATCATAAGTATAATCTGTTAATATTTTTATTGTGAATCTTAAACTGCACTTCAGTTTTTTTATCTCTTGCCTAACTGGTCATAGACAAAAACCCACAGTGATATTTTGGGTAAAGGACTTTTTTATTTCAACAGAGACAGAGACAAAGATAGAGAGACAGAGAAAATATTATTTGCAGATTCTTCTGGTGGTTTGGTATAACAGAGTCACTGCCTTGTGGTATAAGTTTTGTGAAATTCATAATGCTTCATTATCTCAGTCAGCTTTCTCTTCATTCTAACTGTTTTCATTTTCACAGTAGCTCATGTAAATAGGCTGATCCTGCTTTGCATAAGCATGTTGATTTATATGAATGCTATTTTGATCTCAAATTGATTGAATACTAAAAAGAAAGTCTAGGAAAAAGAGTAATGTATTATGAAGGGTTCCTGTCAAAGACAAAAGATCCTCCATACAGTCCCAGTTAGTGATGGAGAATTTTATATTACCTTGTTTTTAGAACAGAATGTTTCCAAAGAAATACAGCAAAACACTATAATATTGAAGCCCAGGTGTTTTAAAATATCATGCATTAAATCAGGTTTGGAAATAGGACTCTATCTAGTAAAAGCTCATATAACACAGGAAGGCCTAGGGTTTAGTACTCTCTACCCCACCAGCATCAAAGACTTAATAGTATTTATGATTCTACATCTCTATTGAAAATGAAGAAAAGTTAATGTTCATAACCCAGAATCAGAACCTTGCTGAGCAATTTCTATGAATCATACTTTTTTCTTCTCATTTTCTTTCAACACCTTATGACACACTACTGCTGTCTTCTATTGGTGCTCAGTAATTAATTGGCAACTTGTGTGATTTTTCTTGTTTTAAACCTAGTTGCACATTCTTCCTCATTTCCCCCCCATCTGTCATAACCCCAATTAAAATTCTACAGGCCCTTAAATCACCAGCAAAGCACTCCTCTTGGGAAAATAAAAAACAACTCGTATAACTGTTATTTTGCATTCCTCTCTCAAGAATATTAGCATTCCGAAACTTGTCACTGATTGTGTAATAGTAGGTGTCCCCTACCACCCTGCAGAAAGATATTTGCAGTAAAAGAAGTTGTTCTGGAGCAAACAGAGGAGCCGGGGACCCTTCTTCATCAGCCCTGAAATCTGACCTCTTCATCAATTACCTCCTTCACTGACCCTCCCCAGTGTAAGACTGACCTTGGCCATTTCAGAGGAAACTACAGGATCAGCTGCAGTTGTATTCTGATGCATTCTAACTTCCATGAAGTCTGGCTTTCCTATCTCTAACACAGTTTCCTGCTCCTTACTACCTTGTGCTTATCAAAATAAACCCCCCTCACCTGAAACAACTTGCAAGTATCTATCCATCCTTGCAAGCTAAGAGACCTTACCTAATCCAGAATTGCAGGTATTCGTCTATGGAAAAGTCATTTAATTTTCATGATCCTGAGTATCTTATTTATGCATGTGGATAACATACAGAATCAAAAGCATTGCTTATTGGAAAGAGCCCTGGAGAGCAGAATTCTAGTTTCAGTGCCTGTAACTTCTGTCACCTTGAACAAGATAGTGAAATTCTCTGGAACCTCAACTTCCTCACCTTTGAAAGGGGGATAATCATACCTTCTCCATTCACCTTGCAATGTTATCATTGTGAGGACTAAGTAAGCTGACATAAGTTAAAGTGCTTTGTAAAATGCAGAGTTGATACAAATGTGTGTGATTATTATGCAAATGAGAAGATATATCTGAGCTCCAAAAATGCCCGTTTGTCTATGTAAGTAGGTTAGTTGTCTCTTTTTAAAAATGAGGCTCCTGGCAATCCTATCAGCAAGGGGCTAGGGATTTGCATTTGACAGCAACTAGAAAACAATTCAACATCAGAAATCTCACTTTTACAAAGGAATCTGGAAAAAAAAAAGTATGAAAACACGGATACAGTTGGCCTAACTACTAAAAATCTCTCTAATGTTTCTTCTCTTGAAGATATTATTGATGCAAAAGCAAAACAAACAAAAATGAAACTAAACTCTCACTGCAAAATATCCTCTGACAGTTTTTTTTCAAAACATCTCATATTTTGAACATTCTGCATCATTTTTAAAACTGAATACCTTCAATGTGTTTACTACAGAATCAAACAAGTTTTTCAGACTTGTATTTCAAAGCTTAGGGGCAAATTTGTAAAAACTATGCAGTATAGAAGACACCCAATGAGAAAAAAATTTCCGAAGTTAGACTTTCACATGAAAGCTTACTAAGGAATACTACTACTCCTAAACACGCAGACAGTCTTCTTGTATTGCCATTTCGATCTATCATTCTGATTGATCACTGTGTAGTTGGCTATTATTGGGCCTAATTTAACCCTATACACTCACACATCCATCTACTCTGTCTATTGTACCTGACATTCTACAAATTACTTACTCATGCAAATGATGACCTAAGGCAACCTTTTAGGATATTCGTGTTTAATTATACAAATGATTCTTGATAAATAAGATTATACATCCTTCCATATGTTTATTCCCTCCTTGATGAAAGGAAATTTAATTTTCATGCAGATTTGGTGGGGACAGTGTTTAAGAATTGCTGAGTTTTATGTAGTCTGCAGATCCATCCAGTTTGCAGAAGCTGACAAAATCACTCCACTTCCTGCACAGAGATGAGCAGTTTTTTCATTAGGCTTAAATCAACCCTCTCTCTACATTCTGAAATTCTAAACAGTCCTCTTTATGTTCACATGGTAAAAGGGAAAAAGTAAAAAATATAAAAGAGGAAGAGGCTGCTCTCCTTTGTGATTACAAAGTTGTAAGATCAAAGTTTATCTCCTTCTGTTATGTTTAATTGTTTCTGTTTGACTTTTTTTTTTTTTTTTTAGTCTGAGGGTATCTTGCTTTTGATGAATCTTGTTGTTGTCTCTTTGGAGGTCTGGGCAGTGAATTCTGCAGGAAAAGCCCCCAGTAACTGGACATGGTGTAGAACCGGGCCTGCCCCTCCAGAAGGTCTCAGAGCCCCCAAGTTCCATGCAATCTCTTCTACCCAAGCAGTGGTCAACATCAGTGCCCCTGGGAAGCCCAACGGGATCGTCAGTCTCTACAGGCTGTTCTCCAGCAACACCAGCGGAGCTGAGACAGTGGTGAGCAGCAGAGCAGAAAGTCCAGGATGGGTTGATTTTTAAAAATCATTGCTGTGGTGCCTGTTGCCCGTATTTTGCTCCATATGTTCTTTGACTTTGCCACTGCAAGTCTAAAATATAGTTTAAGACAGAATTTATTAGAGAAAAAGAGGCATGCTTAAGGGAGACCGTGGGGTCTCTTAAGAGAGGGCACGTGCTTCCCTTTGACAAGAAGTTTGTATATTTTTTACAATGATTAAGCAAACTATGAGCTAAGAGTGGAGGGCTACAGGTATCTGATCACAAGTTTGATTACCATCTTTCAGACTTAAATTCACAAAGACCTTCTAAGTAATTAAAGTCACTGCCTAGCTAAGTTTGAGTTTTTCTTAGAGCATCATGTCTGTGTTTTGTGTAACTCCCTATTATCCTGTGATTTGCTGGGCTGGTAGATCCACATTCCAGTCTGCAAGGTGGTGGTCAGATCTGGTATGCCTGGCCAGTCAGGTGAAGGTCATATACTGATAAGGAAGATGTCTGAACAGTTACACTATTTTTAACTTAAATCTGCCTGCAAGAAACTTATCTTTGTCTAGACTGCTCTAGCTAACCTGCCTCAGTCCCCAAGCATTTCCTTCCCCTCCATTCTTTCTTATCATCCTGTTCTCAATTGCCCTTTGGCGAACTTAGTAGCACAAAGATACCTCAGAGAGGAAGAGGTGTAGCAAACATTTAGACAATATGTAAACTCTCCTGGAGAGAAACACTAAAGGTGGTATTACAGACTCCACCAATGTAAGAAAACTAAGACTTTGGAAATAATCAAATTACATTGATTTAATTTAATTAGAAAACATAAATCAAGCACTTAACAGAGGGGTGGCGCACAGCAGCAAATGGTAATTGTGGTGTAAGTGTTAGTATGAAAGAGACAAAATAGAGCAAAGAAAATCCTGGGAATCTCCATTTTCGTATGCACAAATCTTTAATAACACATGGAAAATGCAAGCCTTTTTCTGACTGGTGAATTTGAGAAAGTTCTAGCCCTTTGGAAGAAACAGCAGAACAGCTCCCTCAGTGCAGCTTTTACCCCACAATTTGTTTATTAGCAGGTTTGGGGCACACTGGGAGACAAGAGAGACTGTTGAGGGGAATCATCTTTCACATGGTGCTTTAGCCAAGCCCTTGCTGGAAGGGATGTCAAGAATCACTAAACCAGTTCCTGCATTATTTAAGTGAAGCAACCAGGAGCCCATGGGATGAAGTCTCTTGTCTCTGTAGTACAGCTTGTGTCACGCTCACGTTTCTCATGAATAAGTGGAGATTATAATAGTTTGTTCACACAAACCTCATATAGAGATTGTGAAGATCCCAGGATTACATTATAAATTATTTAGACCAATTTAGGGAACAATTTGGGCAAGTGTGGAGAAATCCTCTGAGGCCAGAGTGCCAGGTATTGAAACACAATTTCAAAAGATAACTTACATACAAGGAAGCTCAGATTGAATGTTAAAGGCGTATTAGCATATTTTCTACAGGGCTTCGTATTCAATAAATATAGATGATGTAAATACAATCAACCCTTGATTATCCATGCTTATAAAATGATAATATTAATAAATTAAAATTATTTATATTTGGAGTGCATTGTATGCATTTTTTAAATAACAGATACTCTTTTTAATTTATGTTACTATGTCGATGTGAAAATTAATTTCCAGTTTCTGAGCTTTTCTGGTCCAAAGAGCAATTACTAAAAGCACAATGAGGTCAAAAGTAAAGTTTGCTTCAAATAAACCAAAAAGTTTACAATCCTACAAAGACGATTGAGATAAGACTATGATATTTTGTAAAAGTCAATACTCTCGGAGGAAATAATAGACTGTCAAGCTCTTCAATACTTGTACCTGACTCTAACATAGATCTGCAGGGATTTTTGACCCAGAAATAGCATGCAAGGAATCATAGAAGAATATGGACCAAAGTGAATGTTGACTAGAAATATAATTTAAATATAGATCTTGTTTCTTGAAAAGGCATTATTCTGAGGATCATAAAATTTGACCAATATTTTATGTGTTCTGCATCATTTTCTAATACCTTTCTAAGATAAAAGATAGTGGCTGATATTATGCCTTGTGATTTCTACCCTGTTAGTTCAAACTTCTATTTACCTATTTTTATTACATTTTCCCCCTATTTATAGTCAGATCTCTCTAATTGGATTAGTACATCTCCATGGTTAAATCAGAGCTGCCCTGATCCAATTTAAAATGCTGTAACGAACCACTGTTTGAAAGAACACAGAAGTCACTACACTCAACTAATATGGTACTCTACTCATAGGAGGTGGGATACTTGATAACGCGTATCGATGGTCTTTGATTTGTGACTCTGCCTTATCTAGTCTTCTTTCCTCCAACAGCTGTCTGAAGGCATGGCCACCCAACAGACACTTCATGGCTTGCAACCCTTCACTACCTACTCCATTGGAGTAGAGGTCTGCACATGCTTCAACTGTTGCAGCAAAGGCCCGGTGGCTGAGCTGAGAACTCATCCTGCTCCACCTTCAGGACTGTCCTCTCCACAAATCCAGGCGCTGGCCTCCAGGACAGCCTCTTTCCAATGGAGTGTCCCTTTGTTCCCCAATGGTGTCATTCAAAGGTAGTGGGTCAGGCAGAAAGATGAATAAACTAAAACAAGACACGCATGTAGACACAGGACTACCCAGCACTCCCTAAGGAGTACTTGCTTATTGGACAGCTATCTATAGCAAAATAGACAAATAAATTGATTTGAGTGGTAATGTTACCTGCAAAGTGTTTAAATAATTAAATCAACTAATGATAGAAAGGTGAACAACAAAATCATCTCTACATCAAAAAGAAAATGCAATGCATTTGTATTCATTGAATGAACATACTCCTCTTCATAGTTCCCTGGAATTTTTCATTCTATAGGGTTTTCCTGGAACATAAAAAAACCTCCATGGTTAAATCAGAGCTGCCCTGATCCAATTTAAAATGCTGTAACGAACCACTGTTTGAAAGAACACAGAAGTCACTACACTCAACATAATCTGGAGGGGAAAAAAAGATTTTCTTTATTCTAAACAGAGAAGGACAATTCATCACTCACTCTCCTCTTAAAAGAGAAATATCTTATCTCTACCAAGAAGGATTAGTAGTTGCTGGTTAAACAGTAATGTGTGTGGAGATGGTGACTTCTCTTATCATTTCTCTGGTTATTTCTGCTGCTCATTTCCAACAGCTTTAAATAAAATGTTTCTGAGAGCAGTTTCCTGCAAATGGACATTATAAAGAGCTTGTAGTTTGATAAAAACAAAATGTCTCCTCACAAAATAGAACCCATTTTAAAGAGAGAGTTAAACTAAATCCATTGCCTGTCTTCACTGTAAGTATCCATTCTCATTTTAGCTATGAGCTCCAACTCTACATGGCTTGCCCCCCCGAGTCAGCCCTACCCTGTACTTCCAGCCAAACAGAGACAAGGTACACGGGGCCAGGGCAGAGAGCCAGCATTGAAGGTCTCCAGCCTTATACCACCTACAAGCTGAGAGTGGTGGCACACAACGAGGTGGGCAGCACAGCTTCCGAGTGGATCAGCTTCATCACCCAAAAAGAATGTGAGTAGAAGTGGCTGTCACTGTAAGCCAGAGAGATAAGAGGGTAGTCAGGAGAGGCTTTCCTGAAAACCAGGGAAAACCACTTTTTTGAAATGATAAGGCAAGTTTTCAATTACATTGAATACTACTGAAATATTAAGATGATTACTGGAGAAAAACACCTACTAGATTTAATAATATGGAAGTCAAGGGCAACTTTATGAAGATTTTTCAGGTAGTTATAAGATATAAAAGTCAATTTGGAGGAAGGTAAAAATGAATGGGCAGAAAGAAAGTGAATAAATACTTGTAGACCATTTATATTTATTTTTGCATTATTTTATTTTAGTACTATGGGGTACATATGAGCATAAGTAAATTGCGTGCAGGTGAAGTTTGGACTTCTAGCAGGCCCTCTCTCCCCCTGACAGCAGACCTGGTACCCAGTGTGTTGCTGTGTGCCCCATCCCACCTCCCTCCATCCCTCCCTCCCCTAGCAGTGTCCAGTGTACTTACAGACCATTTTTAAAAGAAGTTTTGCCACTCCTTTTATTTTCAAATTACATAATCTCTAGTATTTCCGGAAAACATTGAAATACCGCACTATTAGGAAAAATAAGAGGGCAACCAAGTGCAGAAAAGGGCAGTCAACTAATTAATTAATTAATTGGAGGTTTCCTTACATTTTTGTTTTTTTGTTTTTTTGTGGTTTTTTTGAGTTGGAGTCTCACTCTGTCACCCAGACTGGAGTGCAGTGGCCGCTCCCGGTCACCGCAGCCTCGACCTGCTGGGCTCCGGCGATCCTTCCACCTCAGCCTTCCAAGTAGCCGGAATTACAGGCATGCGCTACCATGCCTGGCTGATTTTTTGATTTATTGTGGAGATGAGGTCTCGCTGCCCAGGTGGGTCTCGAACCCGCGGGCTCAGGCAATCCACTCACCTCAGCCTCCCAAAGGCAGGGGATTACAGGCTGAGTCACTGAGCCCGGCTGTTTCCTTACATTTTTATAAACTATAGTCACGTATCACTTAATGACAAGGATACATTCTGAGAAATATGTCGTTAGGTGATTTAATTGTTTGTGAACATCACAGAGTGGACTTACACACAAGATGGTGTAACCTACTACACACCTAGGCTATACGGTATAACCCGTTGTTCCCAGGTTACAAACCTGTACTGCATGTTACTGTACTGAATGCTGTAGGCAACAGTGAGACAATGGTAAGTGTTTGTGTACCTGAACATAGAAAAATGTACAGTAAAAATACTATATAAAAGATAAACGGTGATAAACCTGTACAGTTTAGCTCCATTATAATCTTATAGGACCACTGTTGTACATGTGATCCATCATTGACCAAAATGTTGTTATGAGATGCATGACTATAATTCTTTTCAGATTTTATAAGGTACATATTTCTATTGTTTAAAAATGGCAAACACAAAAAGTATTAAGAGTAAAATAAGTACTTATCAGAACCAGCTACATAATTTGTGTGTGTAGTAGAAAGTGAAAATATGCATTCCTTTGTTTAAAAACCATTAAGAATTCCAGGACAATGACAGAGTATCAAACTAAGCCCAGGCCTCTTCTATGTGAGGGGCCTGTGCAAACTGCACAGATCACATACTCAGGAAGCTGGTCCTGCTTATAATCCCCCCATCCGGAGGCAACCCACTACTAATATTTTGATCTAATTAATTCTTTTAATCTCCTTTTCGTGTATAATTTTTACTAAGTGTCTGAGATCATACTGTAACTAAAATTTCATCTTCTGCTTTTAATACTTGACATTATTATATTTGTATTTCCCATGGAATTAAAAAAAAAAAAAAAAACTCAGCTGGACTCGGTGGCTCAGGCTGTAATCCTGCGCCTTTGGGAGGCTGAGGTGAGTGGATTGCCTGAGCCCCCGGGTTCGAGACCCGCCTGGGCAGCAGCGAGACCTCATCTCTACAATAAATCAAAAAATCAGCCAGGCATGGTAGCGCGTGCCTGTAATTCCAGCTACTCGGAAGGCTGAGGCGGAAGGATCATTGGAGCCCAGCAGGCGAGGCTGCGGTGGCCGGGAGTGGCCACTGCACTCCAGTCTGGGCTACCGAGTGAGACTCCAACTCAAAAAAAACAAAAAACTCTTTAGCCACCCAACTTAATGGCTATCCTATATAAATTAGTTGATCATTTCAGTTGTTTTTGTTATTACCCTTTTAAAAATGTGACAATAAAAATCTTTGTGAATAAATCTTTCTTTGATTCTTAAATTTCAACAAATAGAATTTACTGCACAAAGTATTTTATTAGTTTAAGCTTTTGGATACTTATTTCATGTTCGCTTTATAGAAAGATTATATCTGCTTATTAGCTCACATAAAATTATCTATGTGGCATTGAGTATTAGACCCATTTTTAAAGTAAGAATTGTGTATTCATGAAAGACCAGTGTCTCACAAAGGACCTTAAAGTGTCTGAACAACATGGTAGGATGTTAGAAATAGATCATGTTTAGAGAGGACTTGTTTGCTCTGGCACTATTGAAATGTACAAGTAATCCTTGCAATAATACTTATAAGTATTATTATTATTATCCAAATTTATAGCAAATTTAGGCAGGACTGTGAACTGCACACTGTAATCCCAGAATGTCATTCACATAGACTATGATCGGAACTGAGGCTCCTGGAGTCAGACTATGAGGTAGCCTTAAATTAAGACCAGAGCTTTAAGTAACTTGGCCAGTTTCCACATCTAGTAACATTACTCTAAACTCATGATCAAGGAGCTTAGTGGCACCCTCAGTACTACTATGTTTTCCTAATCAGTTAACTTCCCTACCCTATGTAATCAAATTTCAAACCTTCTCCATCCTCAAGCCTCCCACTGCATCTCACCCTTTCTCCTCACACACCCGCAACTGGCTCCCATCTTTCCCTTTATTCTCTTTAGAACTCCTTGCCTTGTAATTCACCAGGGAAAGAGAAGTCACCAGTCAGTAATTTGCTCCCCTCGATCACTGACAAACCTACCTGCATTTGCACCATTCCTGTCAGTGACAAGGAAGGGGTGGTTCTTCTGTCTGAAATAAACCTGTCTCCCATGCTGTCAATGTAATCACCTTCACTACACATCATCCCTTATCTAGCCTTAGTCTTCTGTGTATCCTATTTAGATTCAAATTTGCTTCTCTCTCTCTAATATTAAAGCAAAAAAATAAGCTCCCCTTCCCCTGTGGTGACTGTTGACTCTCTTCTCCCTCACAGCAAAACTTTTCTAAAGAACGGTATACACTTGCTTTGCCTATTTTCTCTCTTCCCATTTACTCTTTAACTTCCTCACCACTGGATGAATATATCTTCCTAAGTTTGCCCTTGACCTCCTTATTGATATATCCAGAGGCATTTTTCTCCAGGAGTCACCTTCATTGACTTTTCAGTAGCATTCAATGAAATTGAACCTTTAATCCCTTTTTAAAAAATGGTTTTTCATTCATTTTCATGACAAACTTGTGGTTTTTCTTCTACTTCTTTGGATATTCAATTTTAGTCAACTTTGTTGATTGATCTTTCACTAACCAAGTGTTTCAAGCCTTAATTTTAAACTTTTTCTCACTGCCTTTTCCTTCCTGTCTCTACCCCTACTTTTCACCTCCTTTCCTCCTTCCTCTTAGGTGAATACATTTACTCCAAGGCATTGCCTCTAAAAGCTGACCTCCTACTCAAGGGATCACCTTCTACTCAAGTCCAGTATTTTGAAATCCATACCCCCATATCCAGCTTCTCACAGATGTTTCCCTCTGGATTTCTCATAACTGTAATAATCAACATTGAACCCCCCCACTCCCAAACAGAGCTTCTGTCTTTCCTTTTGTAGCTGTGCCTCTTCTAGTCCTCAGTTCCTCAGTTTTCATCTCCAGCACTGGGCACGGTGTCTTAGATTCCTATTGCCTGTCGCTTAATGAATGAGTGAGTGTACCTACAACTTTGCATGTTCTTTTGTTGGCACCACTCAATCAGCATTCTTTGTCACCCATAGCATAATTAAAGCAAAATGTAATGATTCTTAATGGGTGTGTCTGATTTTGTAATCTTATTCACAATATATCTATATTCCAAGTTTGCTCATTATTCCCATGTTTTGGTGGGTATAACCCAGAAGGCCAGAGAACAGTTAGGTGAGGTTTTCAGGTTATAATTAATTCTCTTTTTAGTCATGAAGCTTAGCTTTTGCCAGATATTTTTTTCTTATGTTGAAAGAACAAAGTGAACAGATTTGAGGTTTCCTTATTTTCTGTTCTTTCTCATTGGAAAAGTGACTGAAAGTTGGACTAGCACCAAAGAAGAAAAGGTTCCCTTAACCACTACTGGATCCACAGATATGGAAAAATACAAGAAATGACTAGTATAATATGGATTTCTAATTACAATTTATACTACTTTTAACTCATTATACACACTGGGAAGGAGAAATGTAGATGAGAGAACACAAACCAGAAGAGAATTTAAAAATAGTGTGTGCAGTTTTATATACATATGATCACATATACACTCAGCAAAGGGTCTAGAGGGGCCTCCTCTGTCTAAATTACCCCTTCAGTAGAAGAGAGAGGTAATGTGTAAATTTTGACCTTCTCAAGAGAAAAATAGACTGATGTGAAGTGCTTGCCAATTTCCATGGTGTAAGTAGCTCACCATTGCCAATTTCAAGTTACCAACATGACAGCTCTGAACACAGAGTTGGGAAGAGGTGGGTTGTGGCGTATCATTATATAAAGTTATCACAATGAATGTAAATAACCTTGAGCATATAGATAATAGTACAATAGTGTGAAATAATGAAAAAGTTATGAATTTTGAGTATTACATTTTTGTAAATATAATTTGTTTATACAATTTAATTTTTAATGTGGCTAGGTTTAACAACTGATTCACAAAATTCCTGAATATTTAACAATTGGAATAATCTAGCTTCAACACAACACTGAAGAGTGTCCATAAAGTGAAATTAGTAAATTGTGATGCTTTAAATAAACGTGTACTGATTGTAACAAAGCAGCATGGGTTTGGGGGTCAAGTAGGCCTGGATTCAGATCCTTGGTCTCCTACCAGCTATTGACACTAGGCAAGGTATTTGACCCTCTCTAAACCTTAGTTTCCTCATCTGAAAAATTAGAAACTTACAGGATTATTTTGAGGATTAAATGTAAGTCAAATACTAGGAGCACAGTTGACTATTACCATTTTCTCAGTCTTCTTGGGGAGGTTACATAAACCCGTTATTCCTGATACTTTTGATTGTGTACTCTTTTTCCTCAGGAAGGTCTATAAATCCTGGAAGATAAGTAAGACTCCAGTCTTTCCATTTTCTTACTACTTACAAGCCTTCTTTTTATTTGTGCTGTGTTGATAAAGAGGGAAAGTGGAAATCTATTAAATTCGGATGTTATAACCTAGAAAAGTTATAGACAAATATGACAGTGTATTCCATTTTGATACTAGGCAGGATGTGTATAGGAAAAGCACAGAGATTCAAAGGAGCCTTCATAACTCTTGCTTTGGTATTTGCAAATAATTTTCCTTATAGCTTTATGAAAATGTCTTATTTGAAAGACAAGAATCAAATGTATCTTTATGACTGAATCTTATGATGACAAAAACATAATTATTCCTTATTTTGTTATATTTCCTAAATCAACAACAGATGGGCTTTTTAAAGAAGAAAATTATATCAAATGTATTCTCACCACTCATTCCTTTTTTTTCTTAAAAGCTAGTTTAGTATATAGATGAATCTTAATGCTTTTACAAAGTATTGATTATTTTGGAGAAAATGAGAATTCATGAAATAAATCTCTTCTGACTTGACAATATGATATGGTATCCTTTTAGTTTTTTCTACAAAAAAAATTATTCATTTAAAAGACAAGCCTCCATTAAAGATTTTTGTTTCAATTTGTTTTGGTAAGGAGTTGAAAAATCAAAGGGAATGTGCCGCGAAATGAACACAAAGTTGCTTCTATGTCTGATATAATACTTAGAAGACCTGAGCTTGATTATATACTAATGTGCTATGCTATTGATTGATTAGTCAGGGCAATGAATTATTATACTTGAATTGCTGTTTGCAAGGCTTTTTAACTATCTGAGAAAACAAACTAACGGTTTGAGAAAAAGCTTTAAAAATAAATGGGTGCCAAAAGGACATAATTCACCATCTAAGCAGTTTGGTTTGGAGAAAAAAAATATATTAACTTCATCTAGTCCTTGGGGCTTAGTAGCAATAAATATTGATTTGATATGAAAAATAGCTATCTACTGTAGTTAATAGTGTTAAGGATACTTTACCTGTTAAAAGAGGGAAAATGCAACAAAATATGAGCTCCAGGGTTATGTTGGTGAGCAGATCCATTGTATGTTAATAGTTTTATTTATAAAACACCACTTTCTATTGATTTTTTGGGGGAAAGCAGGTGCAAAGTTGCTGTGGAAGCATTTCACACATGTTGCCATTGTTTTTTTGTTTTTTTTTCCACCCCAACTCTGGTTATTTTGTGGCACTAAGGATAAAGCCAAGGGTTCTAGCAATGTCAGTATTGGTTTTGTTTTGTTTTGCTTCTCATATTAAAAAAAAAAACACATACATGCACCCCCCCCCAAAGAAGTGACTTCTTTTTTTTTTTTTTTGAGTTGGAGTCTCACTCCATCACCCAGGTTGGAGTGCAGTGGTAAGCTCACAGCCACCCCAGCATCGACCTGTTGGGGTCCGGCGATCCTTCTGCCTCTGCCTTTCAAGTAGCTGGAACTACAGTCACGAGCTACCACACCCCATTAATCTTTGATTGATTATAGGGACAAGGGCTCACCAAATTGTCCAGGCTAGCCTCAAGAGTGCAGGTTCAGGCAATCCACTCACCTGGGTCTCCCAAAGTGCTGAGATTGTAGCCTGGGCCACCAAGCCCGGCCAGAAATGACCATTTTTAGAGCGTATCACTTTCTCCCAACAGTGCCTCAGTACCGAGCCCCATTTTCGGTGGACAGCAACTTGTCTATGGTGTGTGTTAACTGGAGTGGCTCTTTCCTCCTGAACGGCCCGCTGAAGGAGTACGTGTTAACCGATGGGGGACTTCGCATCTACAGTGGCTTTGACACCACCCTCTACATACCGAGGACAGCGGATAAAAGTTAGTGTCTGACTCATGTTGTTCAGTGTGGAAGGAGCTCTGGTACCCAGGTTTACTAGATGTTCAGTCGAAAGGTGGCCAGCAGATCGTCATTATTCAAATGTCTCTGTTTAAGGGGAAGTGTCTTGTGAAAAAGTGACTGTTCAGAGAAAATAAGGTTTTCTTTCCTTCTACTTAGCTGCCTGAAGTTATTGTAGGTATAATGCAGGAGACAGTGCTTGCCTCCAGGGGACTGAAGAGTCCCCAAGAGGGAACAAGACCTGAGGGTAGGTTGTGGTCACAAGAGAAACAGAACCCACACATAGAAAATGAATATCCTAAAATGATACATTTTTAGGGATGTCAAAGATTTTCTTGATGTATCTTCACTCTCCAGACAGGGTCCTATCAAGCAATGATCATCTCCAACTCTTAAGGACTCCAAGTCAGGGGTTTTCTTAACCTCCATTGGTATCAGTCCCTGAAAGAATAACCCAGGCCAGGCGCGGTGGCTCAAGCCTATAATCCCAGCACTTTGGGAGGCAGAGGCAAGAGAATGGCCTGAGCCTACAGATTTGAGACCAACCTGGGCAAAATGGTGAGACCTCATCTCTACAATATATCAAAAACTTAGCTGGGCATGGTAGCAGGCACCTGTAGTTCTGGCTTCTTGGAAGGGGGTGGAAGGATCGCTGGAGCCCAGCAGGTCAATGCTGGGGTGGCATGAGCGTGCCACTGCACTCCAGCCTGGGCGATGGAGTGAGACTCCAACTAAAAAAAAAAAAAAAAACAGAATAACCCTTTCCTGTAAAACTGAATCCCTGCTCCCTGTTTAGTTATATGCCCTTTTACTCTTGTATTTCAATTGAAATGAGAAAAAGCTTTACAAGGTCCCATCTTCTAGTGATCAGCATGCTCACAGGGTCAATAGATATTCAGCCATTTGATGCAGTCTGGATTTGCACAATCAATTAATTAGTGAGTATTTTAGGTTACTTGAACATACTATTTATTTTGGCTACAAGGTAGAGGTAAGCAATGAGCTCCAGCATTACATTTATAGTATTTGAAGCTTAATGACATCTTTACAATGAATCAGGTACACACAGTTTGTGGTCCCTAGGCAGCTTGTTGTGATAGGAGGGTGGCTTGATGGTTGGGAGATATAACTGTCGGTATGACCTTGTAAGAGTCACTTTTCTCAGGTTCTGAACTATTGGAAGAGTAATTTAGACCATGTGATTTTTAAGATCCCTTTTGAGCTCTCCTGTTCAGCAAACAACTCTGGGTCACTTAGTGAAATATCCATCTGTAAGTTTTAAGGGAAGGGTTTAAACCTTTTGCAGAACAAGATATACTTTGTGTATTATCCTTTACTCCTCTGATAATTCTTTTCCTTTGCTGGATAAGCTCTGATCTGCTTTAGCTCAATTACTTATAGGTATGCTATTATTACACATTAGAGCCTTTTTTTCTTGATAATTTTTAAATTAGAAATAAGTTTGCATATTAGATGAAACTTCACAACTTGTTCTGGAAGCTTATGTTTAAACTTGTTCATGTTATGATACATTGCTCTTTTAAAAGTATGCTCCCTATTTGTAGTTGGTGAGTGAAGAGTTATTTACTAGTTATTCTTTGTGTCTAGTCTTCTTTTTCCAGGTCATCTGCACTACAGAAGAAGGAAGTGTTAAGACACCATTGATCCAATATGATACCTCTACTGGATTTGGTAAGCATTTGATTCATATTTAGTGTAGCACCTACTCGTTTTCTTCAAGAAACAAGCGTATGTTTGTTTATTCATACTTGTGCTAATGTAGTAGCATAGACTGCATGGAAGAAATTGTGTTATACGTTGTCAGAAAATTCTTGAGAAGTCCTCAGGGAACTGACATTAAGCGAGAAGTTAGGCTATATTTGGCTTAAAGTGCCAAATCATTGGACTGTAAATGTGGAGAAGACCAGGGAGATCAGGCTCAACTCCTCTCCTAACACAAATCCTGCCAACAAAGTGTTGTATGACTTTGTGTTCATAAACATGACGTACAGAGGAAATCAGAGAAAAGAGATTGAACAGGAGAAAATACTCAGTCAATCCGTATTGATTATAATGCTAATATTCTGGATTCAGAGCCTAAGATGGTATATTTGGAAATTTCTTTTTGTTTTTTAGTTGGAGTCTCACTTTTTGCCCAGGCTGGAGGGCAGTGACATCCTCATGGCCACTGCAGCTTCGACCTACTGGGCTCAGGTGATCCTTCCGCCTCAGTCTTCCAAGTAGCTGGAACCATAGGCATGTGCCACCATGCCAGGCTAATTTTTTGATTTATTATAGAGACGAGGTCTCACCATGTTGCTCAGGCTGATCTCAAACCCCTGAGCTCAGGCAATCCTCTCACCTCTGCCTCCCAAACTACTGGGATTAAAGGCTTGAGCCACCATGCCGGGTGGAAAATTTTTACCTTACACCCTCTGTAAAAGATTATAGTTGACTGCTAATACCAAGTAATTTAATAAAAGAGATAAAATTGTAATTTTTAAGGAGCATCTTTTAAATTGAGTTCTACCTATAATTTTTGAATCTAAAATTTGTGACATTTTACAATTTCAAAAAACAAATGAGAGAAATGCCAAATCTTTTCCATTAAAACAAATTTGGGACTGAGATCTTATTTTAAATTCCAGTAATGAATGCTATGTCAGATTTTCATGCATATATAGTTTTTTTTTAATAATCACGTTGACACACAGGTAAACATACATATTGTCATCAAGAATCATTTTCAGTTTGTAAAGATAATACAGTAATATTCTATGTTTCTAAACTTTACATGCCTAGTTGTTATATAAAATTTCTTACAACACCCAACACAATTCCTCCCACATAGTTTATTTCATTTTATTTAATAGCAGTAGTGAGATAGAACAGACCTCATTAGTATTCTTTCAGCAACACTAGTGTTTCCACAAGGGGACAAATGGAGGGCTTGGGTATGCAGAAGTTTATCCAGAAATGCTTGGCAAGTTTGTTCCTAAGATGAGAACTCGAATGTGGTTTTTCTATTAACTCCTGGCACAGGACTATTTCTTTAGCAATGGTTCTCCAATTTTAAGTATGCATAAGAATCACCTCAGTGCGCTTGTTTATTAGAGTTTCCCAGGGCACTGGTAGAGAGTCACCATCAGAAGGCCCTAGGAATCTGTTCTTCACATAAGTCCTGCCCAGTGATTCTGACACATGGGTCCAGGACCACACGTCGAATAATACCACAAAACCAAGATTGTTCCACCTTCTGAGTCCCACCAGCCTAGTCTCCTTGATCAATGGGAAGTATCCATAGCTGTCGTTGGAGGCAGGCAATCAACAAAGAGGGATTGACTTTGACACTGGCTGCAGGTTGGGTTCTTCTTTGGATCTGAGGCCCCGGCATGAGAGTTCCATCCCTTGAAGATGACCCTCCCATGTGATGCACAAGTGGAGGCCCTTAAAGTGAAAGGGCACTTTGAAAAGAAGAAAGGGACAGATAAAGAAGCACCATCCTGATTCCAAGCTCTTCATAAAAGAGGAGAAATCTCCCGTTGGATCATGAATACGAATTGAGGCTTCCATTGTGTCTGGAGGCTGGGCTCTGGGCAGAGCAGAGAGAAGGAGCTCTGAGGACTGCACAATGTTGTGGCAGATTCCAAGATGTGCTGTCCAACTAATATCTATAGTCAGTTCTAATTTTTATGATACAACTTTTAAAACACTCTTGTTCCCTTGCCTGAAGGCAGCCTCCAAGCTGGAAAGTGGCAGAGACCTCATTTTCTTCTGACTGTTTGGAGGGCTATTTCCCTTTTGAGGCTTCCCTAGGGCCGGCCGCCCTCTATTCCCCCGGCGTGCTCCTGAGCAAGGGGCCCACTGGGCCCATCAGATCAGTTTCTGGAGTTACAGCCAGAGTGATTTCCTCACTGTGTCACACACAGAGGAAACAACTCTTTTAGTGTATAACCATGGTTTGTTCATTTTTTTTTTTTTTTGAGTTGGAGTCTCACTCTGTCGCCCAGACTGGA